GGTGGCTCAGGGTGCGGGAGAGGGACCCAGAGGTGCAGGGAGCTGCGGGCTGAGTGCTGGGCAGGCTGTGCTGGTGTGTTAGTGCTGGCCAGGTCAGGTGGCTTCTCTGGGCTGAGCCTGGGTTTCACTGAGGAGCTTCAGGAGTGGGATTCGAGGGATTTGGGGACCTTTGGCAGGATCAGAGTTTGCTGGAGCAAGGGAAGCGGATGGACGTGGTGGCATTTGCTGGCTGGTGAGGGGCTGGAGAGGTCGCTGAGTTCTTGGCTTCCCTTGGCTACTCTGTTTCAGGCACTGGAAAAGAAAGGGATCAGCCACCTGGATGAGAAGGACCTGAAGGAGCGAAATAAGCGAATCCAGGAGGACAATCGCCTGGAGCTGCAGAAGGTGGGATCAGAGGTCTCCTCCCTCCCACCGTCTGACACTCTATATAGACAGCCCAGTTCTCCCAGTCGCTCACCTGGAAATCCCCTTATTCTTCTCACTGGGGGTTGCCCGTAGGCTCCAGGTGGGGAACGCTGTACTGACTTGTGCTATTCCTGGTTGAGAAGACTCTTCTCTTGGGTTTGAGTCCAGCTCTGGAGGTGCTGAGGAGGACAAGTGCCAGGTCACGGCACTGAGGTCTGTAAACGGGTGGCAGCCAGCAGCCCGGCCCCACTGGGCCTTGCTGGCTCCGCGGGGAGGCCGGCGTTGGGAGACGAGGCTGCGTCCTCAAACAGATTGTCCTGCCTGGGTGTCCCAACCGCTGTGACCTCACATATCCTTCTGCCCTGGGCAGGTGAAGCAGCTGCGCCTGGAGCGGGAGCGGGAGAAGGCGATGCGTGAGCAGGAGCTGGAGATGCTGCAGCGGGAGAAAGAAGCAGAGCACTTCAAAACCTGGGAGGAGCAGGAGGACAACTTCCACCTGCAGCAGGCTAAGCTGCGGTAGGTGTATGTCTCCGTGGGGATGATCCCACCAGGGAGCAGAGGATGGCAGGCACCTCTCACTGTCCCTCTCCCCTTGCCCAGGTCTAAGATCCGGATTCGGGACGGGAGGGCGAAGCCCATCGACCTTCTGGCCAAGTACATCAGCGCAGAGGACGATGACCTGGCCGTGGAGATGCACGAGCCTTACACCTTCCTGAACGGCCTGACCGTCTCCGACATGGAGGATCTGGTGGAGGACATCCAGGTGCCGGAACTGCTGCCCCTGTGCCAGGGCTCACTGAGGGGCTGAGCTCAAAGCTTCCACCTGCCCCACCTGAGCTCTACTTCCCTGCCCGTGGTGCAGAGCAGGTGCCTGATGTCCTGCTTGTCTCCCGCCTGCAGGTTTACATGGAGCTGGAGCAAGGGAAGAACGTGGATTTCTGGAGGGACATGACCATCATCACCGAGGATGAGATAGCCAAGCTCCGCAAGCTGGAGGCCTCTGGGAAAGGAGGACCGGGTGAGCGGGAAGGCAGAAGTGTGACGGGGAGCATGAGCAGTGGGTGAAGTGGGGCTGTCGGCTCTGTCACGTGTGCTCGGGCTCAGAGGAGTTCTCTGAGATCTGCCGGGTGGAGGCTGCAAGTCCAGCAGCCGTCCCCTGCTCGGGTCCAGCCTCCCGGCGTCGGGTGCAGCCCCGGAGGGTCTGGGTGAAGGTGGGCTGAGCGCTCAGACACTGATTGGCTGCCCTGGTCTGTTCAGGTGAGCGTCGGGAGGGCGTCAACGCCTCTGTCAGCTCAGACGTGCAGTCAGTGTTCAAGGGGAAGACGTACATCCAGCTGCAAGTGCTGTACCAGGGCATCGAGAGCAAGATCCGGGCAGGAGGACCCAACCTTGACATTGGGTACTGGGAGAGCCTGCTGCAGCAGCTGAAGGCTTACATGGCTCGGGCCAGGTGAGAGGGGACTGTTCCTGACCGTGGCTGGGGAAGTGTGCAGCGCAGACCCCACTGCGAGCAGAGCTGGGGACCCAAAGTCACTGGTGGAGGAGTTTTTATACCTTTTCTGAGATGGTTGGCTCTTCCAAGAAAGGAGAAGGGCTGGACACGCAGTCCCTTGTCTGGCAACAAAGTTTAACATGAGCTCTCCCAAGAGGGAACCAAACTGGAGGGTTATTCACCCCAAAAACCATACAAAACCCAGCGGGTTTCTACCCGGTGTGGTGGGTGTTGCAGTGTGGGCACGAGGCGAGTCTGCTGGGTGGGACCTGACGGCTCATCTCCTCTTCGCAGGCTGCGCGAGCGGCACCAGGACGTGCTGCGCCAGAAGCTGTACAAGCTGAAGCAGGAGCAGGGTGTGGAGAGCGAACAAAAAAAAAATCATCAAGCGGGAGCCGGCCTCCCCCAGCGACAGGTACGTGGCCCTTTCTTTGAGGAGCGCAGCCACCCATGGGGCATTGAAAATGCAGCCTCGTGCTCCCATCATCCCACAGACAGAGCTCAGGCGAGCAGAGGAGCGTACTGTCCCCATCCCAGTTCTCTCTTCTCGCTTCCTACTCAGGCGAGCGGAGAAGGAGCGTACCGTCCCCATCCCAGTTCTCTCTTCTCGCTTCCTTGCAGGCGGGATCCAGAGGAGAGCATCGTGGTCCAGCCAGGGCCGTCCTCCGAGCTGGAGGCTGAGCAGGATGCGGAGGCCAAAGGAGAGGCGGAGGGGGAAGCCGTACTGATGGAGGAGGACCTGATCCAGCAGAGCCTGGACGACTACGATGCCGGGAAGTACAGCCCTCGGCTGCTGGGCCCCAACGAGCTCCCCTTCGACGCCCACGTGCTGGAGGCTGAGGAGGACACGCATCGGCTGCTGCTTCTGCGCCAGCAGCTCCAGGTCACAGGTAGGAGCCCCCCACACCCGCCGGTCTCGCAGCCCACCTGGCCCACAGAGCGGGCGTGTGCTTCGGGGTGCAGGGCTGGAGGGGGAACACCGCCCTCAGAAAAGATGTGGAACACGTGGTGTCACCTCTCTCTTCCCTATAGGTGACGCCACCGAGAGTGCCGATGACATCTTCTTCCGTAAGGCCAAGGAGGGCATGGGCGCAGACGAGGCGCAGTTCAGCGTGGAGATGCCCCTCACGGGCAAGGCCTATCTCTGGGCTGACAAGTACCGGCCCCGCAAGCCCCGCTTCTTCAACCGCGTGCACACGGGCTTCGAGTGGAACAAGTACAACCAGACCCACTACGACTTCGACAACCCGCCCCCCAAGATCGTGCAGGGCTACAAGTTCAATATCTTCTACCCCGACCTCATCGACAAGCGCTCGACCCCCGAGTACTTCCTGGAGGCCTGCCAGGACAACAAGGACTTTGCCATCCTGCGCTTCCACGCCGGGCCGCCCTACGAGGACATCGCCTTCAAGATCGTCAACCGCGAGTGGGAGTATTCCCACCGCCACGGCTTCCGCTGCCAGTTTGCCAATGGGATCTTCCAGCTCTGGTTCCACTTCAAGCGTTACCGTTACCGCCGATGAGGGGCTGCTGGGCTCCCCTCCGGACCGCTGGCACAGGGGATGGGCAGGGGGCTCTTGTCCTCCGTCACAGACGCTGTCCCATGGACGTCCCCGGCGCCTGGCCCAGCACGGGACCTATTCCTGAAGGATTTCTCTGTCCGTCCTTTTCTCCTGAGGCACACTGAGACTTTGGTACAAATAAATAGGGGTTGTTTAAACTCTGGGATCCTTGGCCTGGGCACCCTCAGCCACGTGGTGTCGTTGCTGAATATCGTCACCAGCCAGCACCGCTGGGCCAGCACTGGGAGCTCCCTTGCCCTGCTGGGCGCTGGGGCGTGCTGGGGGGGTTCTCCTCACCCCCACGCCTTTGCCTCTGTCAGCCCGTGCCATCCCCACACGCTCCCGTCACCGGTGCCAGACCCAGGTGCTCCCCGAGTGGAGCTGCAGGGCCCTTCGCTCCAGGAGCACAGCCCTGGTCCCCTGTCCCTCCCTTGCCCTCCCGGCCACCCCCAGTGCTGGCACAGTTGCCCCTGCGTCCGGCTTCCGGGAGCACCACCCCCGCCCTCGGCCCTGGCTGCGGGATGAAAGGGGTCGAGGGCTGCGAGTGCGGGGGCGGAGGGGGGTGTTGGACGGGATGTCTCCTTACAGGGGAAAAGTCAGGTCCTGCAGTGCCTCCCGCCCCGAGAGCGTCAGTGGCTCCCGCTGCCCTGCGCCGCGAGCAGCTGTGCTCCCCAGACCCCTGTTGCCAGGGTGGGGGGCTCTGGGGGCCTCGAGCAACACGCTGTGGGGTTCGGACACTTTGGGGAGCGCTTCAGGGCTGAGTCAGGACTCGGTCCCTCTGGGTGGTGGCCGTGAGGCGCAGCCACGTCTGTGATCGCAGCCCTGGGGGTGTCCCAGCCCGACACTGGGGCAGGCGGGAGGGGATGCTGGGGTGTGAGTGATGCCGAGCAGCGCAGCCTCCAGGAAACCTCGTCTTGGCCGTGAGCTGTTGCACAAAGGCCGTTTCCTCCCACAGGCCTCGCTGCATCCTCCCCGCCAGGACAGCCCCGTGGTGCGGAGGGGCTCGGGGGCTGCTCCGGTCCCCCAGCACTGCTGGGGGGGTCGCTCCCTGCCCTTGGAGGCTGCCCTGTGGCCGTTGCTCTTCCGTGTAGCTCAGGAGCGTTGCTTTACCCTTCGGCACCGCTGGCAAGGTCCAGCCCTGTGATCCAGCCCATGGGAGCTCGTGCTCTGGAGGCTCCCACACGTACCAGGGCTCATCGCCCTGCGCGGGGACAAGGGATAGGGGGGATGCCAACCCCCTCCCCATCCTGCCAGACATCCCAGGCCGGCGGCTGCCCTGGGACACGTCCTCTGGCCTTTCCTTCCTGTGGGTTATTTAAAGCCAGTGAGTGGCTGCTTGGCACAGGGGGGAGTTCAGGGCCTGAGCTCAGCGCAGGAAGCGTGTGAAGGCCCGGCCAAGGATGGCTTTGGAGGAAATAAGGAAAAAAATCCCCAGTGCAAGGGTTGGGTGCGCTCTCCGCTTAACTGCTTCCAGAGCCCCCCTGCCCGCAGACCCTCTCCCTCCTGGGCGGGCCCCCCCCACACAGGGAGGGACTCCCTGAAAAACATCCCGCTGCGTCCCCAGCCTGGAGGGGTCGGTGTCACTCCTGGGCGCTGCCAGTTCCCGCACCCCTGACCCTGAGCCCTGGACAGAGCCGTGGACTCCAGGAGCTGCCGCAGCCACTTCAGGGGCTGGGTCCAGCCGAAAGCCTGTGTGGTGGTTTGCCAGCCCTGGCTGCTCTCAGGGCTCTTCTCTACATCTTCCCTTTATGCTGGGGGGAACCAGCTCCATCCCCGTGTCCCCAGCTGGCCGCGGCGCAGCCCTGCCCTGGGTTTGGGAGGTGCGGCCAGTGGCAGCAGCTTGGCCGGATTCCCACGGGGGTTGGTGCAGAGCTGCCTTCAGCACCCCCGCGCCCACATCCTCTGTAAGCGAGGCTGCGCCCCACTGCTGCCCAGCGGGAGGGTCGGCACAGCCCAGCAGCATCCGGGCCCCCAGCTGAGCCGTGTTGCTCACCGCTGCCAGCACACCCCCCCTTCCAGCTCCACAGGCTGTCCCTCCAGCTCCCACCAACTGTCACCTTCTTCCCGTGCTTTTGCTGACACCGAGGGACAGAGGGTTTGCACCCCTACAGGGCCGAGGCAGGAAAACTTGCTCAGCATCACCCAGCCGTCCGCACGCCCCGGCCTCAGCTGGATGCTGGGAGCACAGGATGTCCCTGCGTCACCCACGGGCTCCTGTGCTCCCAGTGCCAGGACTGCTGGGGACACCCAGGGACACACCGGTGCCCGGGACAGACTCTGCCATCCCCAGAGGAGCACGAAGGGCAGCAGTGGAGGTTGTCCTGTCCCCTCCTGCAGCTCCCACACCTCAGCAGGACAGTGCCTGGGGCCCTGGGGATGTGGCAAGGCGGGCCACAGCTTAGGGCAGCCCCGAGCCTCACCGAGCCCTGAGCAGGGGGCTGAGAAGATCCCCCCAGAGTGCAACAACCCCCGGCTGCATCCAGCCGTGTCCCCCGGGGCTGTGGGGGACACCCAGGGAGGGCTGTGGGGCACCTCTGCCCTCCTCCATCCTCCTTTTGGAGCTGCTGCTCCCCGGTTCCCGGCTCTCGGGGGCTGCTGCGGGGGTCGGCGGGGATGTCCCCGGTGCCAGGGCGGA